AGACTGGATGGTGTGTCTGTTATATGCCTCTCTTCAGATCATCTTTGTTGTGATTGGTTGGTCAGTTTGATTTGTGATTGGCTGTTGTTTCCATCTATATTTTTGTTTCATCATGTGATAGTACAGACTGGATGGTGTGTCTATCATATGCCTCTCTTCAGATCATCTTTGTTGTGATTGGTTGGTCAGTTTGATTTGTGATTGGCTGTTGTTTCCATCTATTTTTTGTTTGTTTTAACTCCTTTTTATTGGTTATTTATGTTTTTGTATGGTACTCTAACTTGTTATTAATCACACAGGAAAACATCCTGATTGTCTACTGGCATCTCATCTCTGCTACCTGCTGGCTGGTCTGAGACCAGGAATGCCTAAAACAAACTCCAAGATGGTGTTGATTGGGTGTGAGAACAGGTGAGCATTGTCCTCTGTATCCTTCTTAAATCATATGACAATCCCTTGACTATTATTTCTTTCTCTTGTAACTCATCAAATCAGCATGGATGCAAATATAACAAACAATCCAGAGCTTAAAAAAACGGCTGGTTATCAGACAATGTCCTGCCAAAATTGGAACTTGTCCAGTTAAATCTTTGCCTTGCCTGCCATTTTGACCAGTAACGTTGAGCCAGAAACAAAAGATGGCCAATCTAAAACTAATTTGGCTAGTGATCATGGCCAGCGACTGACCAATTATTTTTCAAAGTCCTACAATCATCTTCCCGAGCAGATCAAAATGTCATTTTGCCAGATTATAGTAACTGACAGCTACCTTATCTTTCCATTACTTTCCATTTTCCATTCTACTACTAGACTTAACCAATGCAATCTTATCTGCTTACCAGGTCTAAAAAATATCACAAGTTGGAATCTCTTGAAGCTTTACAGCTAACTGAGGTAAAGGAAGGACTTATTAACTAAGTATTTTAAAATAAATACAATACTTATGTGTAAGCTAATATATATTTAAATTTGTTATGTATTAATCAATGCTATTTTTGATGTTTTTAATAGTTATTCGAATATGCAAGTAGCCTGGAAAACTCAGAGTTCTACTTGCCTGGTCTGCAGGTAAAAAAATTCATCTTAAATGATATTATTATAAATCAAACCAGCTTACTTTGTTTGAAAGTAATTAGTCAGGGGCAGGCAGATCCATGAATGCAAGAAAAGGGGCTTGAAAAAATTCAGCATTAGAAGAAACTTTCTG